TTCCTGTTAACAGATTTAAACGTCGGATGTTTTTTTTTCGTTAACCGATTTAAACGTCGGATTTTTTTTGTTCGTTTACAGATTTAAATGTCGGATGTTTTTTTCTTCCGTTAACCGATTTAAACGTCGGATGTTTTTTTTTCGTTAACCGATTTAAACGTCGGATGGTTTTTTTTCCTTAACCGATTTAAACATCGGATTTTTTTTTCCAATAACAGATTTAAACGTCGGATGTTTTTTGTTTTTTTCCGTTAACAGATTTAAACGTCGGATGGTTTTTTTTCGTTAACAGATTTAAACATCGGATGGTTTTTTTTCATTAACAGATTTAAACGTCGGATGGGTTTTTTTCATTAACAGATTTAAACGTCGGATGTTTTTTTTTCTTTAACCGATTTAAACGTCGGATTTTTTTTCTTTAACCGATTTAAACGTCGGATGTTTTTGTTTTTTCCGTTAACAGATTTAAATGTTGGATGTTTTTTGTCTTTAACAGATTTAAACGTCGGATGTTTTTTTTTTCGTTAACAGATTTAAACGTCGGACTTTTTTTTCTTTAACAGATTTAAACGTCGGATGTTTTTTCCATTAACAGATTTAAACGTCGGATGTTTTTTTTTCTTTAACCGATTTAAACGTCGGATTTTTTTTCTTTAACCGATTTAAACGTCGGATGTTTTTGTTTTTTCCGTTAACAGATTTAAATGTTGGATGTTTTTTGTCTTTAACAGATTTAAACGTCGGATGTTTTTTGTTTCTTTCCATTAACAGATTTAAACGTCGGATGGGTTTTTTTCGTTAACAGATTTAAACATCGGATGTTTTTTTTTCATTAACAGATTTAAACGTCGGATGGGTTTTTTTCATTAACAGATTTAAACGTCGGATGTTTTTTTTCCGTTAACAGATTTAAACGTCGGATTTTTTTTTTTCGTTAACAGATTTAAACGTCGGACTTTTTTTTCTTTAACAGATTTAAACGTCGGATGTTTTTTCCATTAACAGATTTAAACGTCGGATGTTTTTTTTTCTTTAACCGATTTAAACGTCGGATTTTTTTTTCTTTAACCGATTTAAACGTCGGATGTTTTTGTTTTTTCCGTTAACAGATTTAAATGTTGGATGTTTTTTGTCTTTAACAGATTTAAACGTCGGATGTTTTTTGTTTCTTTCCATTAACAGATTTAAACGTCGGATGGTTTTTTTTCGTTAACAGATTTAAACATCGGATGGTTTTTTTTCATTAACAGATTTAAACGTCGGATGGGTTTTTTTCATTAACAGATTTAAACGTCGGATGGGTTTTTTTCGTTAAGAGATTTAAACGTCGGATGTTTTTTTTCCGTTAACAGATTTAAACGTCGGATGTTTTTTTCCATTAACAGATTTAAACATTGGATGTTTTTTGTTTTTTTTCCGTTAACAGATTTAAACGTCGGATCTTTTTTTTTTCGTTAACAGATTTAAACGTCGGATTTTTTTTGTTCGTTTACAGATAGAAATGTCGGATGGTTTTTTTCTGTTAAAAGATTTAAACATCGGATGTTTTTTTCTTCCGTTAACCGATTTAAACGTCGGATGTTTTTTTTTCGTTAACCGATTTAAACGTCGGATGGTTTTTTTTCCTTAACCGATTTAAACATCGGATTTTTTTTTCCAATAACAGATTTAAACGTCGGATGTTTTTTGTTTTTTTCCGTTAACAGATTTAAACGTCGGATGTTTTTTTTCCGTTAACCGATTTAAACGTCGAATGTTTTTTTCCACTAACAGATTTAAACGTCGGATGTTTTTTGTTTTTTTTCGTTAACAGATTTAAACGTCTGATTTTTTTTGTTCGTTTACAGATTTAAATGTCGGATGGTTTTTTCCTGTTAACAGATTTAAACGTCGGATGTTTTTTTTTCGTTAACCGATTTAAACGTCGGATTTTTTTTGTTCGTTTACAGATTTAAATGTCGGATGGTTTTTTCCCGTTAACCGATTTAAACGTCGGATGTTTTTTTTTTCTTTAACCGATTTGAACGTCGGATTTTTTTTTCTTTAACCGATTTAAACGTCGGATGTTTTTGTTTTTTTCGTTAACAGATTTAAACGTCGGATTTTTTTTGTTCGTTTACAGATTTAAATGTCGGATGGTTTTTTTCCGTTAACAGATTTAAACGTCGGATGGTTTTTTTTCGTTAACCGATTTAAACGTCGGATGGTTTTTTTCCATTAACAGATTTAAACATCGGATGTTTTTTGTTTTTTTCCGTTAACAGATTTAAAGATCGGATGTTTTTTGTTTTTTTCCGTTAACAGATTTAAAGATCGGATGTTTTTTGTTTTTTTCCGTTAACAGATTTAAACATTGGATGTTTTTTGTTTTTTTCCATTAACAGATTTAAACGTCGGATGTTTTTTGTTTTTTTCCATTAACAGATTTAAACATCGGATGTTTTTTGTTTTTTTCCATTAACAGATTTAAACGTCGGATGGTTTTTTTTCGTTAACCGATTTAAACATCGGATGTTTTTTGTTTTTTTCCGTTAACAGATTTAAACATCGGATGTTTTTTGTTTTTTTCCGTTAACAGATTTAAACGTCGGATGTTTTTTTTCCGTTAACCGATTTAAACGTCGAATGTTTTTTTCCACTAACAGATTTAAACGTCGGATGTTTTTTGTTTTTTTTCGTTAACAGATTTAAACGTCGGATGGTTTTTTTTCCTTAACCGATTTAAACATCGGATTTTTTTTTCCAATAACAGATTTAAACGTCGGATGTTTTTTGTTTTTTTCCGTTAACAGATTTAAACGTCGGATGTTTTTTTTCCGTTAACCGATTTAAACGTCGAATGTTTTTTTCCACTAACAGATTTAAACGTCGGATGTTTTTTGTTTTTTTTCGTTAACAGATTTAAACGTCTGATTTTTTTTGTTCGTTTACAGATTTAAATGTCGGATGGTTTTTTCCTGTTAACAGATTTAAACGTCGGATGTTTTTTTTTCGTTAACCGATTTAAACGTCGGATTTTTTTTGTTCGTTTACAGATTTAAATGTCGGATGGTTTTTTCCCGTTAACCGATTTAAACGTCGGATGTTTTTTTTTTCTTTAACCGATTTGAACGTCGGATTTTTTTTTCTTTAACCGATTTAAACGTCGGATGTTTTTGTTTTTTTCGTTAACAGATTTAAACGTCGGATTTTTTTTGTTCGTTTACAGATTTAAATGTCGGATGGTTTTTTTCCGTTAACAGATTTAAACGTCGGATGGTTTTTTTTCGTTAACCGATTTAAACGTCGGATGGTTTTTTTCCATTAACAGATTTAAACATCGGATGTTTTTTGTTTTTTTCCGTTAACAGATTTAAAGATCGGATGTTTTTTGTTTTTTTCCGTTAACAGATTTAAAGATCGGATGTTTTTTGTTTTTTTCCGTTAACAGATTTAAACATTGGATGTTTTTTGTTTTTTTCCATTAACAGATTTAAACGTCGGATGTTTTTTGTTTTTTTCCATTAACAGATTTAAACATCGGATGTTTTTTGTTTTTTTCCATTAACAGATTTAAACGTCGGATGGTTTTTTTTCGTTAACCGATTTAAACATCGGATGTTTTTTGTTTTTTTCCGTTAACAGATTTAAACATCGGATGTTTTTTGTTTTTTTCCGTTAACAGATTTAAAGATCGGATGTTTTTTGCCATTAACAGATTTAAACGACGGATGTTTTTTTTCCATTAACAGATTTAAACGTCGGATGTTTTTTTCCATTAACAGATTTAAACGTCGGATGTTTTTTTCCATTAACAGATTTAAACGTCGGATGTTTTTTTCCATTAACAGATTTAAAAGTCAGATGTTTTTTGTTCTTTAACCGATTTAAACGTCGGATGTTTTTTTCCATTAACAGATTTAAACATTGGATGTTTTTTGTTTTTTTCCGTTAACAGATTTAAACGCCGGATGTTTTTTTTTCTGTTAACAGATTTAAACGTCGGATGTTTTTTTCCATTAACAGATTTAAACGTCGGATGTTTTTTTTTCGTTAACCGATTTAAACGTCGGATGTTTTTTTCCATTAACAGATTTAAACATTGGATGTTTTTTGTTTTTTTCCGTTAACAGATTTAAACGTCGGATGTTTTTTTTTCCGTTAACAGATTTAAACGTCGGATGGTTTTTTTTCCGTTAACAGATTTAACCGTCGGATGTGTTTTTTTTCGTTAACCGATTTAAACGTCGGATGTTTTTTTCCATTAACAGATTTAAACATTGGATGTTTTTTGTTTTTTTCCGTTAACAGATTTAAACGCCGGATGTTTTTTTTTCTGTTAACAGATTTAAACGTCGGATGTTTTTTTCCATTAACAGATTTAAACGTCGGATGTTTTTTTTTCGTTAACCGATTTAAACGTCGGATGTTTTTTTCCATTAACAGATTTAAACATTGGATGTTTTTTGTTTTTTTCCGTTAACAGATTTAAACGTCGGATGTTTTTTTTTCCGTTAACAGATTTAAACGTCGGATGGTTTTTTTTCCGTTAACAGATTTAACCGTCGGATGTGTTTTTTTTCGTTAACCGATTTAAACGTCGGATGTTTTTTTCCATTAACAGATTTAAACATTGGATGTTTTTTGTTTTTTTCCGTTAACAGATTTAAACGTCGGATGTTTTTTTTTCCGTTAACAGATTTAAATGTCGGATGGTTTTTTTTCCGTTAACAGATTTAAACGTCGGATGTGTTTTTTTTCGTTAACCGATTTAAACGTCGGATGTTTTTTTCCATTAACAGATTTAAACGTCGGATGTTTTTTTTTCCGTTAACAGATTTAAACGTCGGTCGGTTTTGATCCATTAACAGATATTTGGTTCCATTTAGACATTTTAACATTTTTAACATTTTAACAATTTGATTGAAATGTAGTTTAAAGAAGGCAGCTGCTAGAAAGTCAACACATAATGCTTTAATCTGGTCTGATTTCTGACGTTATTTCTGATTGTTTGTCCTCAGCATCTGAACGGTTACCCGGCTCCATCCGCAGCTCCTCCCACCCCCGAGGTCTCGAACTCCCCGTCCGATGAGACTCAACCGGCGGCTCAGAGCGGGACGAACCCGACCGGACCGACCCAACCCCAGTCTCAGGACACCAGCGCATACATGCTGACTCCAAACGCTCCCTCGCTCTACGCTCACTCCTTAGGGCCCTTCGAGAAGCCTCCTCCCTACGCCTGCTGAAACACCTCTGACCTCTGACCCGTGAAGATCTGTGTGACCATCGCCGCTAATTACCTCTGTAATCGTCAGTGTTTCTCGTAGCAAATGTGATCGATGTTGTTCTTCGGTAGTTTCCAAAACCATGTTAAACCCTCATCCTTCCCTCGCGGGTCAGCATGACCCGAAGCCCTAAAATTATACTTCTTTTTTTTTTGTCCAGAAAGCTTATTTTATTTCATTTTGATAATATTTTTTCTATTTTTTGATGCAATATTTTTGGGAGATTTTTTTATTTTGTTTACCTTTTTATTTATTAATAAAATCTAGTAATTTAGAGTAATTTAAGCACATTCCTCACATTCTCAAAAAAACTCACAATTTCATGCATAACTCTTTTAATTCAGCTCTAAATATCTTACATCGGGAGTCTTTGACCTCTTGTGGAATATAATAATAACTCATGATATTTGATGCCTCTAGATGGGCTTATAGCTCTATATGGAGCAGAGGAGCTGTTCCGCTGGGTCCTAAAGCCAGTTTCTCTTCAGTGTGCGCTCACACACACATCTACACATTATACAGTCTTTATTGGTAAAGTTTTAGCATTTTTAGTTTTGTATTTTGAGCATTTCTGTGTGTACTGAAGCATTCCTCAGATTCCACTCATTCCTAAAGGGGTCAAATTGACCAAGATTTGTTACTTTTTTTCAATTTCAACCACAAAACTCCTCGAATCCATTTTTTGTGTATTCGTGGTTCAAGTGTGACAAAAGTCCTAGAGTATTAGACCCCTTCGATGAACACTAAATTTTAAAAAAAATGTCAAAACAAATGTCCAGGGAAGGATGAGGGCTAACTCCCTGTTCCTTTGTGGGATCTTCATAGTTTGATCCATTGAGACGTTTTAAACACAGTTGTATTGTGAAATGTGTCGAGCGTAAACACAACGCTTCAGTCTTCTTCTACGGCCAGATCAGCTAGTCATCAGTCTGAAGAGAATTTTAGTGTTAGTATCGACATGTTTATATCAGATTCCTGGAAAACACACGTCTGGTTTAGTAACAGGTTCCATTAGTTAACATGAATAATTAACAGGATTTTTATTAACTAATGTAAACGATTAACTCTTTCCCTGCCACTGACTGAATTTTCCAGCGATCCGTGTTTTCAGTCTTCCGCTAATACACATCTTCTGAAAGAGTAGAGAGTCTCCAGATCGAGAAGCAGAAACGAGCGATAGAAGCATTGCTGACGCACATGTGCATTATAACGCGATTATAACCTTCATTCAGTAATGTTTTAATTTACATAACCATGAAGAGGAAACAACTGTGAAGCTCTGGTGTGTTGATGGACTCGATCTGTGTGTGTGTTGATGGATTCAATCTGTGTGTGTGTGTGTGTGTGTGTTGATAGACTCGATCTGTGTGTGTGTGTGTGTGTGTGTGTTGATGGACTCGATCTCTGTGTGTGTGTGTTGATGGACTCGATCTGTGTGTGTGTGTGTGTGTGTGTTGATGGACTTGATCTGTGTGTGTGTGTGTGTGTGTGTGTGTGTGTTGATGGACTCGATCTGTGTGTGTGTGTGTGTGTGTGTGTGTGTGTGTGTGTGTGTTGATGGACTCGATCTGTGTGTGTGTGTGTGTTGATGGACTCGATCTGTGTGTGTGTGTGTGTTGATGGACTCGATCTGTGTCTGTGTGTGTGTTGATGGACTCGATCTGTGTGTGTGTGTGTGTTGATGGACTCGATCTGTGTGTGTGTGTGTGTGTGTGTGTGTGTGTGTGTTGATGGACTCGATCTGTGTGTGTGTGTGTGTGTGTGTGTTGATGGACTCGATCTGTGTGTGTGTGTGTGTTGATGGACTCGATCTGTGTGTGTGTGTGTGTGTGTGTTGATGGACTCGATCTGTGTGTGTGTGTGTGTGTGTGTGTGTGTGTGTATGTATGTGTGTGTGTGTGTTGATGGACTCGATCTGTGTGTGTGTGTGTGTGTGTGTTGATGGACTCGATCTGTGTGTGTGTGTGTGTGTTGATGGACTCGATCTGTGTGTGTGTGTGTGTGTGTGTTGATGGACTCGATCTGTGTGTGTGTGTGTGTGTGTGTGTGTGTGTGTGTGTGTGTGTATGGCCTCTATCCACTCCATCTGTTTATGATCATCATTCTGAATTCCATCCGGACGAAGACTTTGACAAAAACATAATTGTCTCCGCTTTTTGCTCAAAATGTTGCTTCTTGATGAAACTTACCCACATTCAAGCGTTGATAAAAAATAATGCAAATAAAGCTGGAATAAAATGTTTTTTAAAAGCAGAGGCTCTGGTCTTTCTTTTGAGATATTGCATGTTCAGATGAATCTGGATGCCATGAAGGTTTTGTGAAAATAAAACACAGATGCTGGCGGGGAAAGAGTTAATAAACACTGTAACTAGTTATTGTTAATGCATTAACTAATGGGACCTTTTTGTAAAGTGTTGCCTCTGATTTGCAGAAATATACAAATAAATTCCTCATGTCCAAAGGCAAAACTTTAGAATTATTTGATGAATGTTCTTAAAAATCATCTTAACACAAATTTAAATATCCAAATAGATATGATTATACATTTTTTGTTTTGTTCAAATATTCATGTGGGGTTTTCTTGCACACAAATGATTTCCCATGTGATTTTGTTTTCAGGATTGCACTGTCCTCATGTTTTCTGTCTATTCAGCATATATGCAACCAAAACAACCACTTTTTACCATATAAAATTAATTTATAATGTCATTGTGTTTTATTTGAGGATAGCATTACAGAATGAGAAGAAAAATAAACACCACAATTGAGGTGGAAGATTTTTTAGGACGTCACTGCTGACATCACTTCCTTTCCCTGAAGAAAATTAAATACCCTCACAAAATATTAATGTTCACAAGTTTGTTTGTTTTTTCAACAAGAAATATAACTTTAAAAAAAAAGGAGGGATTTGTGAATTTGAACTTTTGTTTTTCTTAATCCCAAAAGTATCAGTGTGAACCAAAGTAAATGTCTGTGGAATTACGGACAGAAATGATCGTAATAACAACATCCGTCTTTATTAGTTTTCAACAAGCCTTTCAGTCTCACACACAGAGCAAACATAAACGGAATACAAAACAACTTCAACAATAAAAACAAGATTAAAAAACTCAAACGCAGGACTAGAAAACCAACTCAACCCAGTGAATGAAACCATGATGGTGAAGTTGAGCACCTCCATCGAGCCTGAAGGCCTTTATCGACGAGCGGGGCTGTTTTTAAATCCTCCTCTAAAAGCATTTTACAGTGGCATATGTACAGATACAGTATTTTCCAGCGCACTCTCAGTAGCTTGTGTTCGATTGGTCTAATGTAAGCGTGTCGGTGAGTAATAATACATCAATATGGCTGTGCTATATGTGCGTGCCGCGAGTGTGACGAGGATCCGATCCTGATTAAGCGGATCCTCTCGCGGTCGAAAGCACTCGATGGCGTTCGGTTTCTGCTATTGCTCCGAGTGCACCAGAGGACAGGAGTGAGAGCGGATGTCGTTGTGTTTGTGTTGGGCTTCGTCCACATCCATCATCTGACCGTTCACTCGCACATCCATGCACCCCGTGAAGAAGGCCGACACCGGGGTGGACACCAGAGAAACATCTGCGCCAGAAAACATCATCAATCAAGGTGACTTGAGTTTGAAGTGTGTGCAGATACACACCCCGTAAATAACACTCAACAGTGCTGGTCAAATCAGTACATAATGTCAAACCAAAAATGATTTTTCTCTAGTGTGTGCAGGACACTATAGTTCATTTCTGTAAGTGAGGAGAGCAAAATAAAGTAAACTGTGACATATTACACCCAATAATTCTTCATACAGTGACTACCAGTAAAGATCGGGAGCAGAAATGATTCGGACACTTTGAGCTGATCATGTTTTGCTGAAGTGTGTTTTCTGTAATTGCTAATGCTCTTTTTACACACACACTGAACAACATGAAGCATTGCTTGGTCACTGGTTGAGCTAAACTGGTATTATCTAATTGTGTAGTTCAATTTAACAGCTGACAGATATTCAACATAATTCATGTGTGAGAGTCGAACAGAAGGACGGACAAAACCAGTCAAATATCCACTGATCTGAGAACTCTGAGTTCTGCTCATGTTTATCACCATTATAGCGAATAAACTGTGATAATGTGAGAAATGTTGAAGTGTGTAGCCTGTATAAGACTAAAGCCCACATCTGAAGGAACTGCCCAATTCAGGGTCATGTTTTAAGATCATTTCATTGTTCAGCGGGATAAAAAATAGACAAAATCGTATCGTATATATTTAATTTAATATTAAATTCAAAAATAATTTTAAGTACCGAAAAAATATATAAACACTAAAAGCGTATTTTAGTTCTCAAAATTCATGAATTAGTTCAAAGAATATTTAAAGCGAAACTCATACCGACATGTGGGAAAAACGTTAATTGCGTTGGAATATAAACTGCCGCACGTTTCAGGTGATATGAAACATATTGCAGAAAATAAGATAATGTTATACACTGCAAAATTATATTATGGCATGTGTCTGTCTGATTATTATAATAAACTAAAACAACAACAAATACAGAAACAAATGACACATAACTCCTGTTTATCTGCGAGGACGCGACTCACGTGAGACTAATGTAAGACTGATGTGAGACTAATATGAGACTGATGTGAGACTAATATAAGACTGATGTGAGACTAATATAAGACTGATGTGAGACTAATATAAGACTGATGTGAGACTAATATGAGACTGATGTGAGACTAATATAAGACTAATATGAGACTAATATAAGACTGATGTGAGACTAATATGAGACTGATGTGAGACTAATGTAAGACTGATGTGAAACTAATATAAGACTAATATAAGACTGATGTGAGACTAATATAAGACTGATGTGAGACTAATATGAGACTGATGTGAGACTAATATAAGACTGATGTGAGACTAATATAAGACTGATGTGAGACTAATATGAGACTGATGTGAGACTAAATAAGACTGATGTGAGACTAATATAAGACTGATGTGAGACTAATGAGAGATGTGAGACTAATGTAAGACTGATGTGAGACTAATGTAAGACTGATGTGAGACTAATGTAAGACTGATGCGAGACTAATATAAGACTGATGCGAGACTAATATAAGACTGATGTGAGACTAATGAGAGATGTGAGACTAATGTAAGACTGATGTGAGACTGATGTGAGACTAATATAA